TAAATTTAAAGATTTGTTGATTATTAGAAAGGAAAGTATTACTTAGATTATAATCTTAATAAAACGTTTAAAAATGAATTGAATAATTTACAGGATAAATTCTTTGACTTATACGCGATCAAAGTTAGACTATTATATATTAAAATGGCTTAATCTTTAAATCCTTAAAAATTATCGTAATTAAAATTCCAATGTGAATTTTATTTCAAATAATATTTTTTGAACGTTCGTTACATTCTCCATATATACGACCGTTGAAGCGCTACTACACTAGCGCCACTTTTATCCAAGCCAAATATACGCGTGTCCAACTAGACGTGAACGCACGAGATCCAGACGAAAAACGAAGGAAAATAAAGAAAAGGGGAGGGGGGAAGAATTCGTTCGACGGGGAGAGATCGATCGATAAGGAAGAGAGGGAGGGGATCGCACCGTCTAATAATAATGGAGAAATTTCGTTCGAATGAAAGGAGGAACGCGAGGCAAGTGAAGAGGCATGTAGATCGGCGATTCCCCGAGCCAGAAACGTTTCGTGATGAACGTGGCGGCGCATCGATAATCGCTCGCGTGCCACGAAGGCGCGAAGGACGTAACAGATACAAGCTCGATACGGTGTACTACAGGCCGATCGCCTCGATAAGGTAATTATTAAATGCTAATATAAAGAGCCGTGTCTATTTGTACTTTGCGTACAATTCTCCGCGCGCGCCGTTCTCTTCGCTGATTTAGAGGGCGGTAGTGCGTGGGCGGATCGCGATATTGGCGCGAAAATTAGTTTCCATGTAATACGAGAGGAGATGATTTGAGGGGAGACGTTGAGATTAATGAGGCATATATTGTGTTTGTACGAGAATTAATATGTTATTGAAAATGATTGATGGATTTTGGTAATTGAAAGTGAAGGGAGAAAATGAATGCAAATGAAATGTAAATTCTTTTCTTCCAACAGAGAAATAGTTTTTTTTCTATAAGACAGCAATTAAATTATATTTTCATTCTTTTCTACTCTATACATTTTAAATCCGTTTTACAATATTTGATAACGTTTGATACATCGTGATAATTATAGGCACGTGGATATTTGCCGAATAAAATTACCAAAAATTGAAATATTTTATCGAAAACAATTCTACACATCTAAATAAATAATAACTAACCGAAAAAACTTCTTTTTTTAATTTCTCTTTTCAACACCTCAAATACATTAATTACGTATCGAAAATTCAAAATTTTCCATCAACCAATCTCTCTCACCTCTCACCCGATCTCCCACCCGATCGTTCTCTCTGTTCGCAAATTCCACAGTCTCTCTCTCCTTCCCTCCCTCCCTCCCTCTCCCCATCTCTCTCTCTGGTGTCTCTGCGGTTGTCGAACGATATCCTCGACAACGGAGGCCACTAAATATTACGAATGCCGGGGCGAACTTTAAATTAAACGACGGTTCAAGCCCAGATTAGCCACCGTGCAATGCATAAATACGTTCAGTTGGGCCCCGGCCCCTATGTAACTCCGGGACTTACGAGCGCCGTCTGTCCCGAAAAACACGTCCCTTATCGTTCTGGTATCTCGTGCAATGCCGATGTTACATGTTACATATCGAGTGTCATTAAGTGTGATTATATTACCCCGCCTGTTCGCATGTACCATGGTGAACGAGAGGAACGAAAGAATGAGAGAGAAAGAGAGGGGAGAGAGAGAGAGAGAGAGAGAGAAATGGAAAAACAGAACGGAAGAATGGGACAGAAAGAAGAAGAAGAAGAAGAAGAAGAAGAAAAGAAGGTTGGAAGTGTATAGTGCAAGAGGGAACAAGAGGAAGAGGTTTTCGTGGCATGCAGGGAGAGAGGGGGGGGGGAAGGAGGGCAGAGAAGCCGCTTTTACGTCGATACGTAATTTATTGCCATATCCGATATTAAAGTATCGTGGATAAGACGAAGGGATTGGCAGAAGGTCTACCTGCGAGTTTCTTCCCTTTCTTCTCGGCCGCGAGGACGCCACGCGTGTGGGAGTTCCTTTCTGCACCACTTTTCTGTCCTCTCCTTTATATCTTCCCCTTGCGAATTTACGAATTCCCCTTACGAATTTAGGTATTGTCTCGAGATTCGATCGTTTTGGATTTTGCATTAAGTTTCACGTTTCCGTTCGTGCAAATTCGTCGTTTGATCGAACGATAAATAAATATTTGTCCTTTAAAGGGGTATTTATTGTAGTGGATAGTCTCGTGATATCTATTTTATTCAACATTAAATATAAAAAAGAATATTCACTTTACACATAATTTTTATGAAACTTTAAATTCAATGATTGTACACTATCTTTTCTTAAATTGGATAAATTTTAAATGTTCAAAATCTCGATTATTATCATTAATTCCAACATCGATTTATCAAATATCGAATATGTGAATCTTTATGTGAGACACAAATTATGTTTCTATTATGCAGAATCTGTGCGTTGATTGATGACGACGTATTTGGTACGAGAAACGAATGGATATTTAACGTTGCATTTAATCTGGCAACGAATGGAAACACGGTTTAACGTTAAACGATTGCTTAATCCTTGTGCAGCACGAACACGGGGACAGAAGACGAGAGGTGTCATCCTCTGTTGTGCTACATTATTTTTCGCGTATTTTCCGCCGAAAGTGGAGAAATGGTGTCGTTTGTCACCGGATGAAGACTTGTTTACGCGAGTGGATAACACGCGTGCCTTTTTATCAGGATCATCATTTGTATGGATAAATTTCGACAGACGTAAGAGAATGCTTTTGCTAAACTGGCATCGTATAAACGTGTAATCAAATTGTGTAATTTAAAATATTTAAATTTACCTTGAATGGAAGCAGTTCAAAAATATACAATATCAACAAATAGTATGAATAGTAATAACAAAAATTTAACATTCATAAAGAAAAAAAGAATCTGTTATTTAAATCTATCCAAAGGATCTATTAAAAATTTTCCTCCTAAAAAAATATAAAGAAAAAGTAACAATTTTCTCTGTACAACGGGCGAAACGAAAAATCGTAATACCCCTTAATTTGATGGCGCCATGGACGAACGAACGGAGGTGGTTGCCACGTTCTACCCTGTGGCCGTGGTAAAACCGACAAACCGGTGGCCCAGCCGTCCCCCGTAATTTTTTAATTACGGGGCCACGTCTCTCAGTCACTCAGCTCCGGTGACTTGCAACCGGTGTCTAGAATCCACTCCCTAATTTTTAATAACACCTAGCGCCGGGAAGAGAAAGAGAGAGAGAGAGAGAGAGAGAGAGAGAGAGAGAGAAAGAGAGAGCCGGTAATAAGTTTGTAGGCGGTCCTCCGGGTGGGTTTCGAGCCTCCTCCGGTCGAGGAAAGGAGAGGGAACTACCGGAAAACATATTGGTAGCGGTCGACGAAAATCTATTTTGTGGTGGATGGGATCAAATTAAGGAGGAATTATTCGACCGACTCAAATCGTTCGAGGCTTTTTTTTTTTTTGATTTTGGAATTTTTATTTATCCGTGATTCGAAATTATTCGTCATTAAGGAGCACGTGATTTGTGTTTAAATTATTCTCGGGTATAAATAATGAATAAGTGAATTGTGGAAATATTAGGATTAAATAAATATTCGAGAGTTTAATCTGGCGAATAAAAGTTTCGACAGAAATTCAATAATGTATTGCTCAATTTGAATATTAAATTTATTTATGATTAAACAGTTTAGTTTAATGCAACTATCTATATTATTGAATTCTGAATATCGAATATGGAATGATTTATCATAAACAAATTTTTCAAGATGAAAAGCAAAAATTCGATATCAACATCTGTACATACATATTTAGGGACGTCGCGATGAACTATTAAAATTACATATCCTACGGAAAATATCCCCCATTTATACGCAATATTCACATCGCTCAATCGATTTTCTCGTTGAAATATTCATTTCATCACACAACGTTTCTTCGAATTACGATCAAGCTTCTCACAGTTGTTATTACAATCTTATTTGGTTAGACAGAGTTCCATGAAAATAATATTCAGATGTATGAAATTTTTATTCGATTTAAGTGTATAAAAATATATCTAAATATATATATATAGATAAATAAATATATAAAGTATCCAGAATATTAAGGGAATTACGAAAATATTTTATCTCCTCTCATTAAAAATAATATCAATAAAAAATTTAATTCGATTACCATAATGTATTAAAATTTATAATTAATCATCATTAATAATGATTAATCACCTCGTTATAAAATTCCCTGCATCTGAAAAATTTCGAAATTGAATCAGATCGTTTTCTCGAAACCTGATACAATTTCAAATGTAAAAGAAAAGCCGGATGGAAGGGTAAAAATGAGCAAGAATTCGGGCGTTTTTCGAGTCAACGTCATCCCGATGGATAGGAAGCAACGACAGCCGGCCGAGCAATACGCGGGTTTTATTATGCGCGCGATCCGCGCGCGCCTTCTAACCGGAGCTTATGAATAAATATCGCGATTTCCGTCGGCGGAGAGATCGAGGGAGCCTGGCATCGACGGTGCGCCAACAGGACGGATCGATAAAAATTCGTCTCGTACACCGAGCCGCCATAAATATTCCAATAAAGGTCGGCCGTGCGTCGTCGGACCGCCTTGAGAACGTTTCGTCTCTGTCCCTATATTCAATGTTGGATGTGGTCGGTTTAAGTCGCGTGAAACGCGAGAAAAATTTCCCTTGGATATTCTTTCCTTTCTTTCTTCTCTCTCTCTCTCTCTCTCTCTCTCTCCCTTTTTTTTGGTTTCGAAATCGACATTTCGTGATAATCGTGGATCGAAGATTCGAATTTTCGGTCAATAGTCGCGTTGATAATTGAATTGAATTTCTTTTATATGACGTTAATTTCTTTTTGATAATTTATTTATTTCGTATGAGAATATTTTTCGATGAATAATTTGTAAAATATTTTAATTTGGAGATATATCTTGTTATAGTTAGATAAAAATATATATAAATTTGAACAGTACCTTTGGTAAGTAGTGTCGTCGATTTAACGGAAAGTAGAAACTTTAAATTTGGTATTAAAGTGGGCCGTTTTCGCTTGCATGACCTGAAACTGAAACAAGACGTATTTAAATTCGATGCCAATATCGGTGTTGAGATTTTAAAATGCGCTTTCTTTTTCTTTTTTTCTTTGTATCTTAAATTAACTGTAATCACGTCTGAACATGATTTGCACTAAATTTATATTGAGTTACACGATTAGAATAACTTTCTTCATTTTTTTAATCGAATTCAAATAAATAAATTGGACACCTTCTTATAGAATAATTGATTATGTCTAATTACATAGCCTGAAAATAGGTAAAGCAATAATGACGAATTTTTTTCAAAATTTTTCTTCTAAATATAAATTATTTCAAGATCAATATTCTGCATTTTAATAATTTTCAAAATCCTCTTAAAAATCCCAAATTCAAGAATCTAGAAGTAAAAGGATAAACCTTTAAAATTCCCGATTTCAAATTAAAAATTACGAAAAAAATAATATTAGAATAAAAAATAAAATTTAAAAAAAAAAAGTTAAATTCTCGAAATCTCGAAAACCTTTTCTTTCGTCCCTCTATCGATGCGGTCGAAAACATCGAAAGGGTCGAGCATGATGAGATATTCGTCGACATTTCGATTACGCAACGATAGACCGTTTCGAAAATCGTTCGATGATCGCTATCGTATCCAACTGACCATTCAATTTAAATATTTAACGGGGAAGGGAATTATATAGCGGTCCATTATCCTCGGCGATGCTGTGTGCGCGCGCGAGCCATTATTATTAATGTTACTATTTACCATCGGTGCTGGCGCAATTGTCATCACGCCAGACAGTACGCGGCACTAATTACCGTCACGGCAGCCTATTGTTCCACTTAAAGTTGATTGTTATCGTTACGCAAATTGCAGCCAATGCGGTGCGCGCCAGTAATGATTTCGCACCGATATCAATTCCGCCGTGTCTCTGTGTAGGAGATCGTAAATGCACTGTATACATCTCGCTTGAAACTTGTGGGATAACTTATATATATATATATATATATATATATACATAAATTTGTTGGTAAATTAGGAAACATCATTATCCATTTTCTAAAAGCTATTTTCCTTCTACTTATTTTTATTTTATTTTCTGTATCAGAGATAACGAAATATTCGATAAACACGTTATTCATATATTTAATGTGTCGAATTATAAGATTGAAAAGCGATCTTAATTAAACACAATTTAATAACAATTTAAATGATAAATTTAAAATTTTTGAACACGAGTGATACATACGTAATGTACATAGCGAGTGATAATTTTTCTTATTGTTAACGACATTCCGATCGTTAATAAGCGGGGCGGAATAGTTTTCCATTAGCGGCGGACAGCGAATAAATGACCGACTACGTAATCGGACAAAATAATCGCCGGCTAATGTCTTGATAGATTGACGCGATCGATCGAGGTCGATGCGCCGCTGCCTGCCTGCTCCACGAGAATTTGCAAGTCGAGTTTTGCGAAATTCCCTCGAACGAGGGCGATGGGGGATGAGATTGTCGCTGGGGGCTAAGAGTGCTGAGGAGCGCTGGGGGGGATGGGACGAGAATTTGATAGTTTAGCGCTCGAATTTCGAGACGGTTTTTATCTCGATTTGGAGAATTGGCGATGGTGAGACGACATATCGAGAAGCGTATAAATTGAAAGGTCGTCACGAGAAAAGTATTGTCACGTTTGATGCGTGAAATTATTAAATTGAGAATTTTTGTTTTCGCTTTTTCGTTTTGTGCACAAAGGAACGTATGATGTTTAAAAATAAAAATTGATATGTATATATCAATTTATGAATATTGTAAAAATTAAATAATACGTACAGTTTATATTCGATCTTTTGTAAGTGTTTTAATCGTGAAGATTATATAAATTGAATTTGTAATTTTCTATCATCGATGCTATATTTAAACAGAAATTATCGAGTGTTGAAAATATGAAGATTTTATAATAAAACGAATCAAAGTTTCAAAATAATTTTTAAACAATTATTTTTCTTTGTAATTACTTGTATAAGAAAAATTTTAGAATGAGATAAAATAAAACTCTTCGATATTCCATTTTTATTTTTACACATCTTCAAAGTATCATCAAGTAAGATAATTTTTTCTGGAAAAAATTAGACAAAATTAGACACAAATTCAAAGAATAGAAACAATGCAAAATTTTCACGTGTCTACACAATATACGTAATTCAAATTTCGCATAAAAGCGCAAAGTCCAATCACCAACAAACTAAAATAAAAAGATTCTCTCAAAGAGACACTTTTCTTCGTTCTATCCAACTAATAAACAACGACGAGAAATCGTATCTACGTTAAGAACAACTTAAAAAAAAAAAGGGAAGGGAAGGGAGGAACACACTTTCACCCCGTTTGAATCTAATCAGTTTCGCAAAGCAGCGTTTTTGCCCCATCGTAAAATCAAGAACAAAGATTCTTCGTTCGACAGATATACAGATCCTTTGAAGTAACGCGGCGTTTTAAGATAAAATTCCGTCGCGGCTTCGATCGTAATTATCCGGCCGGTGTTTATAAATCACCATGGATCAATTAATGCATCGAAAGAGGGGAGGAGGGAGCGAGATGGGGGGAGGGGGAGGGGAAAAAAAAGGGGGCCAGCAAAGGTAGAAAGCATGCGCCGTTTTATAATACAGTCCGCGATCTTAAATCAACGTCCTTTCCTTGGCCGGAGATAAATCTTGCGCGGTCGAGTTCTCGACCTAAGAAATATAAATACGATTGTGCATAGAAACGGGGCGTTTTGTCGCTCGAAGCGCGGGGAACGGTCCTCGCGATTTCACCTCGCGTCCTGGAAACGCTTTTATCTTTATAACTGCGATGGAATCGAAATTTTGGAAGAAATTTTTTTTTTTTTTTTTTTTACGATAGATTTGCGTAAGTGTAGAAATTTTACGAAGTTTTGGAATATTTTTGTAACGTTTCGGAGAATTGAATATTCAATGGAATATTCATTTTTACGTGGTAATAATATTTAGTGAAAGATTCATTTACTTGAAATAAGAATATCTTTATCTTTGGAAAATGATATGTTAATTGTTAATTAAAACTTTAGAATAATTAATAAAATGAAAACTTCTTTTTTGTATTTATTTTGAATATATATATATATTTGTACATTTGAACATTTTTTTTTTTAAAACCAAACTTTTAAACGCAAAAACAGATTTGATTAAGAATTAATTTATATAAAAATAGTTTATTCAATTTTATACCAATTGTAGAAAAATCAAAATTTTTAATAAATCTTCTTCATCCTATACAAAACCTTGACACGAATCACACTTTCACTTTACATCTTCCCATCGACGTAATCAATTATATTTCCAACAATATTCTACCGTTGCAAGATTTCCATTAAATTTATAATAACAAAATAATTTCGCAAATTCTTTAACGATAATATAAGAAAAAGAATCGATATGGTAATGTCAGTCCAACAGGAAGGTTGATGACGAATTTCTTGGGAAAGGAAGCGTCTGCGACGAGCGCTGCAACGCGAGTGGACGCCTCCGGCTCGGACAGCGTCTCTTATTAGCCGCTAAGGCGTCGCGACGCCCTGGTTGCAGAAAAATCCGCGAGATGGGGACGCCCGTAAAGCTGGACGCCACGAGACACGAGGAGGGATTACAGATCTTTTTCTTTTTTTTTTTTCCTCCACCCCATTCAATCTTATTCATCCTCGTCGGATATTCATCGCATCCAGACGTGTAAATTACAACTTCATTTCGCATATTTTTAAGCAATTTTTCGACTCATCGATATCTCTTCATATTCTAAATAAACATTTTCTAAACTCATAAAACGAATCTCCCTCTTTTTAATCCTTCTCACTCTCAAACTCAAAGTAAGTGAATATATATATCCAATTCGTCGCAAAGATATCATAATTTAAGTTAAATAAAAAAAAAAAAAAATGCTAAAAGATATTACCAAAATATTTTTTAAAACCATCGATATCTCCAATAACTCCAACAAGAAATATCGCTTATTACACGACCTAATAAAAATTCCTTACGAGCCCCGAAAATCCGAGCCGCACGAAGAATCCGAGGAACGCAACAGTGCCGTGCCATCCACCCTCGCCACCACCAAAATTTCCCTCCTCCCCCGCAGCAAGCCTGTTGACGCGTCGCGAGAGAGAGAGAGAGAGAGAGAAACGCGGTCGTTCCCATTCCTTCCCCGATGGCGCAACAGAAATATCGACTCAAGTTTTAACATACACCTCCTCGTATGGCCGCCCAGAGTGCATCTGGGCTGTCGTCATGGGAATATAAAAGGGAGTTGCAGCGAGATAGACAGGAAGGAGGAACGTGGAGGGTGGAACGGGGGAGCCGGAGGGATAACAAGGGACCGTGCCTTGGATGGGATGAGTCTAAGATAGGGAAGGGAGGGAGGTTTGAGAGAGAGAGAGAGAGAGAAAGATCTCGAAGGAGAGATGCTTGTCACCTCCTACATCTTACACCTCCGCGAGAACCTCGGATCCCGCGCTCCACATACGCCTCCCTTTTCTGCATCCCTCGGCTCCCTTCGCTCCACCCTCGTGCGCCGCTTCCGCGTCGTCTTCTCAGCCGCCGCTAACCGTCCACCCCTCCTCCCTCCTTAGAGGGTAGAGGCGCGGAAGGGAGGAGAGGAAGCGCGGAGAAAAAGGTGGCCGAAGCGAAGGAGGGGATGCGCTTCGAGCATAGCTAACTAGCTGAATCTGAATCAATACTTACTTCCGCCCCCTCGACCGACCACCCTCTCTCTCTCTCTCTCTTTTCTCCATCGTCTCCTCACCTTCCTTCCTCCACCTTCCTTTTTTAGAAAGGACTTTCGGGCCACCACCATCCCTCACCACCTAGAGACCACCATTACCATCCGCGTTACTGTCTCTCCACGCGTCTCTCCTCCCTTTCTCCCTGCTCACCCGACCCCTCCAACTCCTCCTCCTCCTCCTCCTCCTCCTTCTGTTCCCTCTGCTCACATTAGTCGCGACTCGTTCCAATCCTTATCGGCAGCAGCCCC